TGGCTGGAGTAGCTTCCTAGTTTTAATTCAAATGTGTAAAGTAATAACTCATTGTTTAAAAAAAAGGAAAGGAAAAAAGCCCTCCAAGCACAGTAAAATCATCAGTGATGGTGAATATATAGGTATCAAGGAGTTCTCTATCTTATCATAGATTTTTTTTTTCCCCTTAGAAAATAGACTGGCTCTGTTAAGAAGGTCAGAAAATCTTGCAGCATATGTAAAAGATTCTGAAGTTGTTAGTGTTGAGAGCTTCTGTGAAGCTCAGAGTCCTCCTTCAGGGGCAGAAGGCACATCTGAAGAACAGCACTGCAAATTACAAGCAGCCTTCAGGCACGATCAGATGATTAGCAAAGTGCAGGCATGGCCACAGCCATGTGAACTCTGGTTCAGAACAGTGTGATTAGCAGTGATTGAAATCTGATTTTAAATGCTGCCACTGATTATGATATTTTACCAACTCATACAAAGAGTTGTGTCCTGAAAGAACAAGTCTGTGCTGAAAGACATTTCTGACACAAAGAGCCCAAAACAGATTGCAAAGGATTTATCTGGGGGCTTTGAGTGGCTGACATTGTGAATTGTCAGAACTTAAGAAGAATATTTTGAAAAATGGACATGAACCCACTAAATCTCTTATTCAAACAAGATCTAGGAAAAAAACACTTGAAATTGTCAGGAAAGATATGCAGATGAGCTTTTCAAAATTATCTGCTTTACTGAGGAACAATAATCAGATTATCTGTGCCAAAATGCTTTGGCCATTTCAAAATCCCTGCTCTGTTTATGAAAAATTTCCCTAATTCAATTTTGGCCTTCTATCCTCTTTGACATGCATTTCTAACATCATAAAATTTATTTTGTATCACTACAGTAGTTGCTGATCATTCAGAAGCCTTTACCAGCCAAAATCATGCATTTTTAGTGCTTATTAGCTCAATTATTCATACACTAACAAGATCACTTCAATGAATTTAAATAATCTTATCCAAGAGCAAAAACCCACAGCTAAAACTGTCTTTTTCTTGGCATTTCTTATATTAATTTATGAGTGCCAGTTCCTGTAATAGCTGCAGGTATGGCCATGTTTCTGGTAGTATGGATGCTGTGCCAGTAGATGGCAAGCTTTACTGCAAAGAATTTCACTGCCAACCATCTCATCTGCATCTCAAGGATTTAACCATGGGGCAAAACGCTTGGCACTAAATCCTCTTGTAATTAGATTAAAGTACCACTGTTTATAAAGAGACTGATAATTACCTCAAGTGTCAGTCAATGTAAATCCAAAGCAATCAGTATTTTGTTTCCATTTTTCCTAAGTTACATAGGAGTTTTAGGACTCTGTCAGAACAAGTCATTGCTGAAGTGACCTTAATTGCTTAGGAATGAAAAACAGCTCCTCTGCACATCTGAGGTAGAGCATGAGGCTTTTCCTCGTTATCCTCCTGCAACCTGGCCAAAAAACCAAGCTCCACTGAAACATTTCTGTCCCTCTGCAGCTCTTTCTGTGAGTGCAGAAGAGAATATTCCTTAAGCATCTGCTCAAACTGAGACAGTCTTTGCATCAATTATCACACTGCATCACAGGGCATGCAGGAGCTTCCACCTGCCATACTCTTCATCCTCCTTCCATGCAGCTCTGAGCTCAGGAGGTTCCCAAATCCCTCCTTCCACATCACTCCAGAGCAGCAGGGAAACTCAGTTTCCACAGGGCAGCAAGGGAGGTAGTGCAAATAACTTACCTGAAACAGGTGGGAAATGGTGTTAGAACTAGGAGTCCAGAATCCAAGGATTAGCTGAAACACTCACATCATTCAGGAACATGACTTTTTAAAATAAAAACATCGTGGAAATGTCCAAGTGAACTCCCTACCATTTGATAACCATGGTGTGCCAACTGCATACCACTGATGATCACCTTTCTTACATGCAGTTTTGCTGCTGAGACAAACTACTATAGAGAACCCTTAAAGTCTTGGTCCCAGCCTTTAAACTACCACCAAGCTGAAACAGCATGATTATATCTCTGCTAAGACCTTCAGAACTCCTGTGCTCCTCAAAAACTACACAAATCATAAAAACCATGGCACAGTGCATTAGAATAAAGACAGAACACCAAAAATGTTGCTGTTTCAATACAAACTTGTCACACAAATCAGACAAGAGTATCCTCTAGAGAATATTGGATTTATTGAATTGTCTGTTGGAGATTTCTGCATAAGAAATTCATTTTATAAAAGCTACAAAAGTTGAAATTAAAACACTGCTTAAAAAAATCCAGGAAAGGTTTTCTGTGTTTTTCCCATAGTGATGTCACCCTGCAGACAAATTGGCTGCCTTCACTCTACAGACAGTGCTTTTAGGGCTGTCTTTCCCCTTCCCTCATTTTCCCTCTACTCTTACTGCCTCAGAGAGCTAAGAAGCTTTTTAACCAGTGCTCACTCCTACTATCAAAACTGCAGACTAGCAAACACATCATGTCCTCACACAGTCATTATAACAAACTCAGCCTGTTGCATGCAAATTATCTCTGGAAAAGCAGTAATAATTAACTAGATTGCTTCTCAGGTCACTGTGGTCCTGTGTAAGAAAGCACTCGAATGATTGACCTCACCTCTTGTAGCTTACACAGTACAACAGTTAGACAACATTATAACTTGATCGTAATTAATTTCTTCAAATTTGCAATGTTTCCCCAAACATGCACTTTAATGAATTTTAAATAGGTACACAGACTGAAAGGAAAGCTCTCTAAAGTTGTGCAAGGAAAACGCAGGATGCAGAAGCTCCTAAGGAGCACAGTTTTGCTCATTTTAACTGTAATTAATAGATTGCAGTAAACTCTGTATTATCCATGCTAAAGAAAAAAACTAAATGCATGGGCAAAGCACAAAATTATGTAAACCAGGACATCAGAACATACATGAGAGTATGCTGAGGAAGAGAAAGGTCTGAATTACTGCTGACAGTGGTGCAGATCAGTACATGTGACCAATGTCTTGAATTTTTGCATTCAGTGAGAGCTCTCAGCTGGAGCAAGTGCAACCATCACTGCATCAGGATGAAATACCTCCTCCCAAAACTGATTATTAACTGGTTTGGGGAGGGTCATTTTAAAGGCAGGCTAATCCAAAAGTACTATTTTTGTCCTGTTTTCCTTCAGAGAACATGAGGTAACACTCCAGTTCTCTTCCTGCTAATCAATGTTAGCTTGCTTTCTATGTAATCCTTAAGACCACTGTTGGTTTTTAATCACGGTGTCACTGTTGCTATCAATGTTACTACATAAATCTCTATTCCCCTTGCTCAAACAAGTATTAATTAGTTATCTGGCTCAGAAAATGTACCTATTCATGAACATCAAGTTCATTCAGACTGGTGCTTCTAATTCTCAGAGGCACAGCTGCTCCTGTGTACACCTCAAGTCAGAAAGCACAACAGTCATGCACAGATAAATTTTAAGCCTTTCCATCTATTATCTTAGTGTCAAACCTACACAAGCAGTCTTTCCTAAGTAGTTAAGCCTTCTGATACTTTCTTCCTCCACCTCCCCCTCCTAAGAGAAAAACAGATTAAATTGTATTATATATTAAAATGCACACCATGGAAACACACCATGACCAGTCAGTTTGTATTCTCTGACACTCCCCTGTGGCTGGTTTGTTGGTTGGTATCCTCAGGGGACCAACCCTAGCTTCTCCCTTTTCCAGGGATGTGTCCCAGGCCTTTATCAGCATTGGTCTGACCCCAGTTATTGGAGTCTCCATCTCTGCTCACCTCTTCTCTTTCAGTGCCCCATCTCCATCTCTACGGTGTCTGCTCTCCCAAATCTCAGTTCAAGAACTGGGAAGAAATTAGAGATTGCTGGTAAACGTGTCTGAATTCCTCTGAGAAGTTCAGCTCATGCACAACACCCTGCTTGCACAAACACACACTGTTCTGCTGTTGTAGAAGACACATACCCTTCATATGTGTCCAAACAATACTCCAGAATAAAAGTATAAAACAAATAATAATAAAAAAGATGTTTACAGCACTTACATTTAGATAATTTAATGCAACTTTTGTGCTCCAGCTCATGAGTCTTTCTTTTACAAACTGCCTTCTCTCCTAAAGAAACATTCAGCTTAATTTCACAATCTTGGCCCAGATACAGCTGCTTCAGTGTATCCCAGAGGTGGATTCTGAACAGTGCTGGTAACAGCTCACCCTCCTTGACTGGGAAGTGAGAAGTAGCTCTTGCTATTGCTATTCCTCACAGCTGCAAGGCAACTCCAAGTGGCCTTTAATTTCTGACAGAAGCTCAGTTCCCAGAGGGTAAGGAAGTAAGGAACATCTTTGCACCATGTTCACCAAGCCCTTCCAGCCTCAGAGGCTGGATGGCTCTGACAGGGCTGTTTTGCATCTCAGGTGTTTGGTAGGTTCTTTGTGGTGGAGATGCCGTACACCTGTGAAATTACTATTTATAATCAGCAAATCAAAATCAAGGTGCCTGATGGTTTGAACTGTTTATTTGAGCTATAACTGCATCTGAGTAATTTAGCTTGTGAAACCCAATGCAAAAAATCATCCACTACAAAAGAATGGTACCACCACAGAAGTGATATTGAGCTAAAAAAAGGTGGTCCATCTCCTTTCTGTAGTAACAAAAACCTAAAATATACCTAAATGTGTTCCATATTGTTGGATATCCATTGACAACAACCAATATTGTCTCAACTATGCTATTAAAGTGCTAAACAATCCTGACACTCCAGACCATGGTTGTTGAAAGAGGCAAGAACAGGAAATTACAACTTACTCGCGTTTTCATAATTGTTTTCATTTAACATTCATTAGTCCACTAACGCATCACACAGTTGCCAGTCCCGTTTTCTTCTCAATAGCCAGTGACTGAAGCTGTGGGTTTTCAAGCGCAGTTGTGTTAAGAACTACACTTCTTTCACTGTTGGTTACTCCCAGTGCTGTGGAATTCCTCAGGATATTTTGTATTTCTTTCCTAGAATCGCTTTGCATGAGGAATGATTCCAGGTGCCTGTCAAACTCTTGCCAAAAGAACTCTACATGTGTTGATGGTCATAAAGATGACCCTTGCCTTTGTGCAGACCCATCAGTGGACAGTGTGGAGGAACTCTGCAACAAAACCTCCAACCCTTGCTCCTCCAACCCTTGTCTGCAAAACTCTACCTGCCTGGGCTCTGCTGGGAACCTCAGCGTCCCCTGCAAGTGCCCTGCTGGGTCCGATGGCCCTGCCTGTGAACGAGGTGGCAGTGAGTGTGACAGCAACCCGTGTGAGCACGGGGGCACGTGCCAGAGCAGCCAGGAGGGGCCCACGTGCCTGTGCAGTGCTGGCTACACGGGCAGGCTGTGCGAGAGGGACGTGGATGAGTGCAGCTCCGAGCCGTGCCGCAACGGGGCCCTGTGCCGGGACGGCGTGGGCCACTACTCCTGCTACTGCGTGCCAGGCTACCAGGGCAAGCACTGTGACCTGGAAGTGAACGAGTGTGCCTCGGACCCCTGCCTCAACGGGGCCACCTGCCTCAACCAGATCGGGCACTATGACTGCATCTGTCCCCTTGGCTACACCGGTAAGCCCTTTTCATTAAAGCAACTTTTCCTCTGGGTCGTGTGGAACCATCATAACTCACGATCCAGGTTCAGCTCCCTCACCCACACATGTATTCAGCTATAGCATTCGCATTCTCTGAAAAATCCCTTCACCCAGGATTTTTCTCCTGGGAAGCTGAGAAGCCTCAGAGAAAAAGGAAACAATTTTTATCTCATTTGCTTCTCCTGTGTTGTGCTCACATGTGGAATGTGTTTGGAGATTGGTTTACACACAGGTGATTGCTTAATTGGTTTCTGGTGAGAGTTGTTTTGACTCTTTGGCCAATTATGACCAAGCTGTGTCGAGACTCTGGAGAGAGTCACGAGTTTTCATTATTATCTTTTTAGCATTGTGTAAGTATCCTTTCTGTATTCTTTAGTACAGTTTAGTTTAGTATTCTTTAATATAATATAATATCATAAAATAATAAATTAGCCTTTTGAGAACATGGAGTCAGATTCATCATCCCTTCCTTGGTCGGGAATCCCTGCAAACACAATATTTAGCCATATCTGCATTACCACCTTACCTTCAGCTTCAGCACCAGTGGCTGATGGTACATTATGGATAACCACATCACTGTGAACTACTGATACCAGAAAGAGAAGGGTTAAAGAAATCTCACATCCACCAAAATCTACATAGCAGTTTTGTGAACACCAATCTATGTCAGGGGGCTAGGTGGACTTTGCTTTTAAAAGAAACATTCTCAAAATGCTCTCTTCAAAGTGCTATATCTAGCTTTTTTCTGAGGGTCAAAACCTATGTTGGACAGATTTAAAAATTAGATCCAAGTAGACAAATTCTACTCTAAACTTAAGACATTTCACATTAAATTACTCTCATCTGCCCTTCCCAGAAACAAGGGACTCATTTGCAAATAGAACATTATGTAAGTTACATGGACAAGTGTTATGTTCCCAAACTGCCCATTTTTTGATAATCCCATTTTATGTAGCTCCATTTTTGAAGTACAGGTGTGATTTTTCTTCCCTACTTCCTCTACTGGAAAGCATATAATTCTTGTTGGAAGACAGCTCCCTTCAAATTTCAAAGCTGTATTCAGGGCTAGGACTGTGAAAGGTAGCACACTGAATCATTAAAAGGAGAAAAGGGGAGGCATTTTAGTGATAGACTGCCAGTCAGGTAAGCAAAGGAAAAGAAATAGTCATACAGCAAAAAGGGGAGAAAAAACAGCTATTGCTTCAAGTGATTCAAATGAATAAGAAATAAGAGATGTGGTTTACAGCTCCATCCCCAAATCCCCATGCAGGAGGGGAAGTCAGAGGTAAAAGCAGCTTTCCTGTGTCTAACACAGCACTCGTTGGAAGGCAGCCCTTGGTTAATATCCCTTATGAGCACAGAGAATGTTATTTGAAGGAAGCTTGTTACCTTCCTGCCACCCCGCTGCTGCCAGGGGGTGTCGGAGCCCAGGCCAGCTGAGGAGAAAACTACACAACTGAGGGAAAGCCAAAGAGCAGAAGGAAGGAAAAACCTATTAACAACCAGCATGGTTACTCTGCAATGATCATACTCAGCCCAGACCTCCTGTTGTATTCAGGAAACTGTATTTGTTTAACTGGCGCTGTTAGTGGGGTCCAGGCCTGGATCCACAGCCCAGAAACTTGGTTTGAAAGAGCTGGAATATACACCTTAGAGACAAAGGGAGAGAAAACATAATGAAATAGTACAGCCCAAACAAAAAGAAATAAAAATTTAGTCAACACAAACTGCTGATGGAAACTCACTCTGCTGGAGTCACTCCTCTTTCATCATGAAATTCTCCTGTTTCCCAAGCTGATGCTCTCTTCTCTCACCAAAAAAAGTCACCAAAGCTCCACACTTTCCACAAGCAGAGTTAAGAAATGAGGAGAGAACCAAGGAATGAGAAGAGGTCTAAAATACACAGCAGAAGGGGCTGCAGTGTTTTGACATACAGCTCCAACACTGTTTCCAGCAGCAAAAGAGACTAACCATAGGAATTCTATAGAGGAGTAGCAGACCATTCCTCCAGCAGTAAAACATCAGCTTTAAAAAGCTACTTAACAAAATGATTTATCAGAAGCACTCTTTTTTTGTTGTTTTTTTGCACCTTGCTGTGAGTTGTGCTAAATGCACAAGCCAGAGGGATTACAGGATGAAAGCCTCGAGGTGTCCCCAGTGGCAATAAAATCCCTCATTTACCCTGTCAGGGGATCTTGCCAACCATTATTATCCTGGCCTGACACCATGAATTACTGTGGGAAGTCATCCAGCCTCATCTCATTTCCCTAAGATGTGAAAACAGGTTGTATCTCTTGATATGCAGGTAAAGAAGGTATAGTAAATCTATAGCTGCAATGTTAACCAAATGCATGAGTTACTGGCTGCTGCTGCTACTTGTTCCATGGACTATGACTGCTATTTTGTGTGATTGGTATGCTGCAGCACTTCTTAAAATAGCTGAGAAATGTCACACATAATTCTTACACAAATGGAAGAGGTTAGAATGCACCAAGAGCCAAAGACGGAAAATTCAGCATGAAATCTGCAGTTTCTATGATAATGTTCTGCATGTGTGAAATTATTTACAAGACATGTGTCACACAGCTGTTAAATAATGAAGTTCAATTGGTTTGTTGAAGTTTTGCTAGTTACCCTAATCAATTGCATTTTCTCCTCCATTGGACTAATTGCACTTGCTTTTAATTCACCCCAACAAAACATGGTGTAAGACCCTGTTATTACCCACAGCTACGTGCATTAATTACCTTGCTGAAACCAGTCCTCTATTGCCACTGAACATTCCAGTGTGAGCTCTCAGCAGTGCATGGCAGTTCCAAAACCCATTCTCAGGCTAAGACAGCAAGAGATAGCATTTCAGTGGCAGACAAAGTAGGTGCAAGGAGCTGGATTTGTTCTTTGTGCAATACCTTTTACAATGAGGTAACCATCGCTGCGATGACGTCTTAGAATTTGAGGAAATTACTCCTGATAGATCTCCAAGCTTTCATTCAGTATTCTCATCAATAATGTGCGTGCTATGCAAATATTTAGAATAGATGCATCATAAATAAGTCTTACGCACTTAAAGGCAAGCAGAGGCACAGCAGCTCTACCGTGGGATGGAAAACCTCAAGTAGAGATCTCACTTCCCAACAAGCTCACGTCTCTGTCATTGTGGATGTAACAGCGAACCAAACAGTCTATCCAACAGCAATTGCCAGCAGTGCAAAGCCTGTTTCCTTCCCCAGCTTTCCAGTTTCAAACCAGCACTCCCTACCTAGTGTCCTAGCCAGCCCAGGTATTCAGCTCTGCTGAGATGCCCAAGCTGAAAAGGGACAAGCCTTGATCAAAGAAACACAACTTCTCCCTCTGTCTAATTTTTGATGTAACTCTCTTCTTGTAGATTCAATCCTGGTGCCTATAAATTAGCCATGTGACACTCTCCATCCAAATAATGGCACACAAGATTACTTTATACAGAATGAGGAATTTGGGGACAGCCCTCTGGACCTGCTGGACCTGAGTACAGCATTTTAGCACAGGACAGCAGAAAGGGTGACCTGCTTACCAATTTCCAGCCATATTAAGAATGTGCAGGTCCTCATGGAAGTACACTGAGCCTGCAAACCCCTAGTATCTTTGAGCAGAAAGTGATTTTACACTCTCTCTGTAGGCATGCAAGTTTGAAAACATTGGCTGTGTGTCCTTCATCCTCACTTGCATTTACTTTTTATTGACTGGGGCTGTAGAAAGAAGTGCACAGTAAGACTCAGTGGAGAAGCAAGCAGTATAAGAAACAACCCTGATTCTTCAGAGAAACTGCAAAAGTTACGAATGTGACTTCTCCCCACCTTCCCAGCATTTCAATTCAAACCATTTGTGTGGTTTGGTACATGCAGGGATGCTCAGCCTGCTCCAGGACACCCCGGGTGCCTCAGCTCGTGGTGGTGCAGCCCTGTGCAATAACTGCGGCGGGGCTCCTTGGCACTCTCCTTCCCGCCTGGCATATGATATTTGGCATACAGCATATTTGTGACAGAATGTTAGACTGAGGTGAAAATGCAGATCTAATCTTTTCATCTCTCTTCTACACATCTAAGAAAGCCTGACAGCAGACTCAGCAGAGGCTAGGAAGGGATTCCCCCTGTCTGCATGGCAGATCGCATTGGCTGGATGCATTATACAGGGAGAAGTTTTCTTCTGAGGCAACATTGCCGAAGGCAGGTTACTGGGCTTGATAGATTAAAGACATGAACCAAAACAACAACGCTATGTTCTCATGTTAATTGTCAGGCTGTTCTCAGGCCTGTAGTTTTAAATTTGGCTGAGCTGAGGATCAGTTGAACAGGGCTTGTTTTGTCACATGATTTTTAGTGTTCGCAGTAAGCTGTTAACAAGCTCTGGCAGATTTACGGTCACTAGACACACTTCTGCAAACACATTGTTTATAATTACAGTGAATTCACAGGGCAATGACCACAGAGGGACTGCTTACTATATCTGCCTGTAATGTACATTACCATAAAGCCGTCAGAGAGCGTTCCTGGGCCGGGCTCTCGTGGCAGGCTCCCGCTGAAAGTAGTGGTTAGCTGAGCAGTGAACCTGAACTGGGGGCATGCCACTGGCAGCTTCCCCATCCACTATGTGGTCTCAAGGAACTATTTCTCAACTGTTGAAAATAGGAACTTGCACCTTAATGTTTAAAGACAACGAAAAATAGTTATGAGTCAACATCTGCAATTTTTGGGTTGGCATTTTAAGATCTTGCCCGGTACTTATCCATAGTACAGATTTTATTCTTTTAAAGCAAAGATGCTCACAAGCATCAAAATAAATTATTCATGAAGTGGCAGGGTTAAATATTATCAATCTCTGTGTTTTAAGAAAGATGCTCAAAGTTATAATGTACAAGTTTCATAGCAGTACAGAGCTGACAAAAGGAGCACAAATAAAGAATTAGAGATGAGCTCCTAAATAAATTGCAAGAGTGATATCCATCATCAAACATGCCTGTTCCCTCTGTTCAAAGAGTACTCTATCATCTTGTACTGAAAATTTCACTTTTACCAAAAAAGAAAAAAAAAAAAGAACCCATTCTCAGGGCTGCAGTTTTTCTTTCAAGCAGGAAATTCCCCTGTAAATTTTCCAATACTGCGGCTACTTCAACAAGCCAAATAAAAAATAAGGAAATTCACTTCAAAGCAGCTTCTTCATTATAATTTGCCACTTCGCATCTGTTTTGTGGCTGATAATGTAGCTGCTGAAAAAACCTGACTTGGCAGTTGAAAATTATTTGAAAATATTACTCTATTTCTCCAAACACTAAGTAAGTGCATAAGCATACAAACTCCTGAAATAATCAAAGCTGCAAGACATTAGTTATTAAATTTTCTTAGTATCTCCTGGTCTGTGCTAGAGATAAGAAAAAGGAGTGTATATGTAACCTCCCAACTATCACAAATAGCTGTGAAGTCACATTAGAACTGATTTATTTCTAGCAATTATCTCTGAAGAGCAGCTCCAAGATTCTGACCTGCCACAAACATAGCACCCCAGACCCATTCACTTGCACATTGATAAGCCTTAAAAAAAATTAAGCAATAATCCACTGCTAAACAAGACACTTCCCAATAAATTCAAAAAACCTGTGCATTGTCCTTTTAAAGGCCAACTTTAAATGGACTCTCATGAGATCAATAAACTGCTGGTCTCTTCTGTATTATGTAAATAGGATAGTAGCATTGTTGGAATAAACTGAAAATTAGTTTGTCCTGTCTCCATGTTCAAGCTAACAGAAAAAGTAATTTTACCTATTTTTGTGAAACTGGCTTGTTCTTCTGTAAATTCTGCCAAACCTTGAAAAAACTAGTTGTGCAAAGCACATTGAGGAGGAAATGCCTTTAAAAACAGGCAACTGCATGAAGAAAAAAATATTATGTGACTATTGTACTTCAGGCAGCTCTTGCTGAGATTTCCAAAGCTGTCTCGTAAGCCTGGGGTTTATTTTCTCTGCTTTTGAAGGTACAAACTGTGAGGTGGAAATCGACGAGTGCTTGTCCCAGCCTTGCCTGAACGGGGGGACCTGCCACGATTCCCTGGGGAGCTTCTCCTGCTCGTGCGCGCGGGGCTTCCTCGGGGACCTCTGCGGCACCGACATCGACGAGTGCTCCAGCCAGCCCTGCCTGCACGGGGGACACTGCACGGATGGGGCCAATGGGTAGGTGGGCCAGCCCTGGCAGGGCTCAGGGACACTGCACGGATGGGGCCAATGGGTAGGTGTGCCAGCCCTGGCAGGGCTCAGGGACACTGCATGGATGGCACCAATGGGTAGGTGTGCCAGCCCTGGCAGGGCTCAGCGACAATGCACGGATGGCACCAATGGGTGGGTGTGCCAGCCCTGGCAGGGCTCAGGGACACTGCATGGATGGGGCCAATGGGTAGGTGTGCCAGCCCTGGCAGGGCTCAGGGACACTGCACGGATGGCACCAATGGGTAGGTGTGCCAGCCCTGGCAGGGCTCAGGGACACTGCACGGATGGCACCAATGGGTAGGTGTGCCAGCCCTGGCAGGGCTCAGGGACACTGCATGGATGGCACCAATGGGTGGGTGTGCCAGCCCTGGCAGGGCTCAGGGACACTGCATGGATGGCACCAATGGGTGGGTGTGCCAGCCCTGCCTGCACGGGGGACACTGCACGGATGGCACCAATGGGTAGGTGGGCCAGCCCTGGGCAGGGCTCAGCGAGGTGCCCCTGGGATGCCTCTGCAGGTGGGAACACTACAGGAGCCTGCCTGGCCTGGTAGCTCATCTCCTTCCACATTCTAGATTTCACTCCTTGGCCCTGCACTAATCTCAGTTTTGATTTGAAAATGATCAAAGAATGCCAATCTGGTGTCAGAGCCAACAGGACAACAAAGCATTTATGGCAAAGACTGACTGAGAAGTGTATTTTTTGTATTTGTACTTTAAATATTTATAATACATTGTTTTGCTGGCTGTTAGTATTGTCATTTAGATATGAATTCTCTTTCTAATGCTTACCAAACTTCAGTTTCCAAGAAATATGTGAGACTGTACAAAACTGAATTTGCTGACAGCAGCTGCCCACACTGACAGATAGAAGGACTAGAAGAGAGGCAGAGAAAAACTGTAGTAACTGTAACCATAGTAATAGATATCATTAGGAAATGTGTCAGAAACTTTACAGGTATATTGTACAACACCTACTTGTTCCAAACAACCTGCAGTCCCATGGGCAAAAAAATAACAACGGTAATTAAAAAAAAAAAAAAAGAGAGAATACAAGGCAAAGGAAAAGTGAGATTCTCCCCCCACTGCTACTGGCTCCACACAGAGGCCTAAGTAGAGCTCTGGCATTCACTCACCAATACTGGATTTTCTGGCTCAGCACAAGCTTCCCAACCTGAACACACATATGTATATTAGCTCAGTCTGGAAGTTCCCCAGTGTATTCATGCAGGTGCTCCTCTTGCCAGTACAGGATTTTTCCTTCATTGTGTATTTTCCAGTTTTTATAAAGCATTTCTGAAGACTCTGGTGCCCCAAAAATCAGTCCAGAAGTCATGTCAGCAAAAGATGTGCTTGCCTTGAGTGAAGGGGTAAGAGATCCGATTCTGGGAATGAGTTTTTGTGCAGTGTGGTGACATGGCACTAGCCTTGTGGAGCTTCTTTTCAGCAGCACTGAATGGCTCTGAGCAGGACAAAGCAATTTATTATTTCCCAGTGTACCTAAAGCATGACAGCAGTGAGAGGGGGTCACCTTGGACCTGAATCACTCAGACCTGTGTGGTAACCTCGAAGCTTTTGAGGATACATGTGTGAGGTGAGCAACTGGGATGCTCATTCAGGCCAGACTTAATCCTGCTCATTCTTCTCCTGGCTTTTAAATCTGAGGTACATGCAAGACCAACTTTAATTGGCTTGTAATACTGCGGGATATCTGGAGAACAATTGGAGCTCTTTCTGTATTTGTTATGTGATGGAAAGGAACAGACAACAAAGCTATTCAAAACAGAAGGGTGTCCAGCAACTTCCTTTCTTTTGTGTATTTTTGGGGATAAATGAAGAATTGTGGTATTTAAGCAGGAGTTTTTATTTTCTGACTAATCTACAGTACAGCTGAGGCTTTGGGTCTGCCATCAGCTCTCAGAGAAATGTGTACAAGCTAACCGATTTAACACAAAAAGCTGTAAATACAAACATCAAACAAATTCTCTCACAAATTCAGACTGACCTTCCAGTGATGTTTCATGACTGCAACGAAGTACAAGCTGAGCTACAAAAGAAAAAAAAAACATTTTCACATAAGTAAACATTCTTATTTAAACTCAATAGTTTACAGACTTAGCTGGACTACAAAACCTAGTGTGCCTAGGCATAGAGGATATCCTGCATGATCCATGTCTTTTCTCCATAGAAAATATTCCCAGGAGCTCTAATGTCCATAGAGGAGATTCCATAGGAAAGAATGCCTACATGTACTGCTTTTTGCATATTGTGAGAACATCAAACAAGAAGTCAAAAAAAATGCTAGGTATCTAAATTATCACTCTTACTATAAAAAGCCATCTGCCTGCTCAGCTGTAGCCTGCTCACAAGCAGGGCACCATCCAGAATCCCTGAAGGTCAACAGCAATGTCAAATGCTAAAAGATACCCAAGAAAAAGGCACTCAGGTGGGGCTGCACATTAAGCAATGAGTTCTGGATATTCCTCCCTGCTCCACGATTCTGAACCAAAGGGAAAAGTAGCTGGAACACAGGCAGAAAAAACCACTTTCACCAAAGCTGAACAGCACCACACTGAAGGTGCATGGGAGAAATGTGTGAAAAACTCAGCAGAAGAAGCAGGCTTCAGGTTTGAGAACACACCTCAGAATGAAAATTACTTTTCTGATTCACATCTTCCTCATTACTTTTTATATCTGAAATTCAAATGCCACCTGGTCCAAGTCATCTCTGGTTTTGATTTAGGAATAATCCATACACCAGTAATAAACTGGCCAGCCAGAAGTTTCTGCTTGTGCACACACTTAAACAGTGTAGTAAAAAGTTTACACTTTTTGGTCTGTTAGACTGCAGGAGCCAGTTGTTCTCTGATGTTGTTTTATGTTCAACAATTTCACTTTCTCTTCATATCTTTACTCCAAGTCTAAGACTTGGATATTAAGCACAGAAATTATCAAGTATACTTATATCTTGCTCAGCGAGATGCCCTAGGAATGTAATTGCACAATAATTTTGTATCACTTTAATGTAAAAGAAAATAGAAAAAGAAATTTTTGTTTCCTATAATTTTTTTAGGTCAAGATCATACAAGACAGCACAGTTAACTTGTATCTTGCAAAAGCCTGTATTTTTATATGACATGTACATGTTACCCTTATACTTGATGACCAAAGAACAGGAATGATGCTTGTTATAGCACTCAGCTCTCTGGAAAAAAAAAAAAAAAGGCAAACAAAACTTCCCAGACATTACTGATATCTGCACGTTGCTAATTTCTATATGTACACTACTTTGTTTACTTATGTTGTAGTCACACTGCTGTCAAAAGTATTACTGTTGTTATTGGGACTAAGCAAGCAATTGACATTTTTGTTCTGCTCTAACAATAAAAGGCTGGTTTGCAGGGAAAAAAAATTCATTTAGTCAAGGAAAAAAAAATTTCCTTATTTTTCTGCCAATGCAATTTCTACCAGTCCAAGAGGAAGGGATACTAACACACTTACTTTCTCCTCCCTTTTCATTTTGTAAATAATGTTAATCCTACAAAATAAAATTTTTCTAAAAGCATTGGAAACGCCATAATTTTTTTTTTTCCCAAAAATTAATAAAAGAAGAAGAAAAAAGAAGGGTCAATAATTCTCAGGGTTGTGCCAAAGCCAACTCACAAGCAGTTCTTTTTCCCCGGACAAAACCACATACTTCAGGGAAAAGCTCATTGTTGGTTCCCAATTGCTGTGGTTTCTCCTAAAGCATCAGATGGTGGTCTCAAGCTGGACTCAACCCTGTAAGCTGCGAGCCAAGGCTACACAAGAAGCCTGTGCATGTTTGGGCACAAAGCCCAGATCTCTTGACTTCCAGCCTGAGTGAACATTGCATTCTGTGTTGCAGGTACAGCTGCAACTGCACCGGGACTGGGTTTATGGGCTCGCACTGCGAGACCCTCACTCCCTTGTGTTGGTCACAGCCATGCTACAACAACGCCACCTGTGAGGACCATGCTGACAATTACACGTGCCACTGTTGGCCAGGTAAGCTCCAAGTTTTCCTGTGCATGTTCCTTGAGTAGTAGTAGAGACTCTTCCCCCCAAATATGATAAAAGGTTGAAGCTCCATAACTTCAACAGTCCTCTATGGCCTTGTGTTTACATGGGCTTCACTCATCATAAGGGAGAGCCCTTTGGGTAAGTTGCTTGCTTTTTCAGCTGAGAATGGATTCTTCTGTACAGCAGAAGTGGGCAAAACAAAAGGCATTATGTGTCAAGACAGGAGATAAGTCAAAGCTAGGAGCCATCTCCCAGTAACTTAATCCTTCAAACTGTGTGCCACGTGCATCACTGCTGGAGCTGATGCTGGTTTTAGTCTTCATTAACCCAACCTTTAAACCAGTCTAAAAACTTCTGTCTGGCAGTGGGCAGTGAAACCCACAGGTTGTGTTCTCTACCAGCTGTTTGCAAACAGGCTCCACACCCCAGTGGGGACACAGACCCTGTGCTCCAGAGAGACCACACAACTCTATCAGCACACAAACTACAAGAAGCCTCTCTAAGGAGTTTGTCTGTGAGCACAGACAGCACTGTGAGCCCTAAATGCCTCAATGTTGTTGCACTACACAAGTCTGGGTGCAACAGATCAGGAAAAATTAGGCAGAACCCTTCCCATTTTCCAGAATTCAGGGATCACTGTATCACTTAAACCTCCAGATGAAACACTTTAAAAACACCAAATTATTTATACTCTCTGCCCTCCTCCGCCTTCCCACAACTGAGAACAAATTACACCACAATGCAGTGCCTTATTACCCACACAAATCTCCACATCACTGCCTAAAAAAGACCCAAACAAATCCTTTATGGCACAGCTCAGCTCACTGATGTGGAGTGGCCACAGCAATGTCCTGCTCCCAAGGCCTGGCAGGGAGCTGCAAGCAAACACTTGCAGCTTCAAGGAGCTGAGGCAAACTGCAGCCGTGTGCAGCTGCTGTTCACAGGGTGTATTTTGGGTCTGGAAGAGGAGAACAGCACACGGAATGACAGAACTGTAGAACAGTTTGGGTTGTAAGGGACCTTAAAGACCATCTAGCCTTCCTGCTCCTAAAAGGCACCGAGAAGAAATATGGAGAGGGAATGTGGTGACACGACCAGGAGAAATGGCTCCAAACTGAGAGTAGGCTTAAATTAGATATTAGGAAAAAATTCTTTCCCGTGAGGATGGTGAGGCCCTGCCTGGCACAGGGTGCCCAGAGAAGCTGTGGCCGCCCCATGCCGGGCAGTGTTTAAGGCCAGGCCGGAGGGAGCTCTGAGCACGCTGCTCTAGCGGGCTGAGGGGCTGGAGCCCCAGAGTCACACCCTGACCTTGTGGCGGTGTCTCCGCAGGCTACGCGGGCTCCCGCTGCGAGGAGGACATAGCCGAGTGCCGCAGCAGCCCCTGCCTCGGCGGCGACTGCGTGGAGCGCTCCTGGGCCGGCCTCTACGGACTCGTCCCGGGGCTGCCACCGGCCTTCCGCTACGACCGGGCCGAGGGCTACATCTGCCGCTGCCCGCCGGGCTTCGCCGGTAAGGGCCGGGACCGGGGCCGGGGGGGCCCGCCGGGCAGGGCCGAGCGCGGCCCAGCGGAGCGGCACCGCTCCACCGCCCGCGGCAAAACAACCAACACTTGTGTGCACAGCTCTGTCCTTACAGGGCAAACAGAGTCGGATTTACAGCTAGCCGTGATCCTGGCAGAGATGCGTCCAGACCTGCGTTTATTGCAGCGCAGCCAGCACTGTTTAGCACGGCCGCAAACCGCTCGGGTTTGGATTGTGGGCCTGCAGTACTGTTCTAACTCCACCCGCTTGTTCCTTCTGAAGATAAAAAATAGTTAATAGCTATATTAACTTATCCAGCCTTCAATTTCTCATTCCATTCATCTCCCGAGAAACTTACAAACTTAATGTCACGTGAAATACTTGGCTGCTGTCTCCAACATAACAAGTACAAAAACTTACGGAGACCACAGTTCTCACTCTGAATCCTCTACTTGTTTTTCTTCAAAGTGGCATCGAGACTTGTTTTTGTTCCAGCCCTTCCCCGTAAGTGTCCTTCCCTATGCTGTCACTAAGTGTTGCTGTTGTTCTTTTGTTCTGCTGAGAGACCACGGTCTGAGGCTTCAGCCGGGCTTTCAGCGTCTCCCCGCTGTCCCAGGCACCCTCACCTCTGCACGTGCCGCTGCTCTCTCTTCATCTCCTGTCAGGGATGTCCAGAGCTCCAGCTTCTTTGCCTTCTGTCGTGTCCTAATGTGGAAACTTCTAAACTCTCTGAGAGAAACAGAAAGGCGCGTTTTGTTGATTTGTCCTCTCATTTCCTTTGTCCTCTCATTTCCTTATTAATTGCCTTCACCTGGCTTGTTTGTCTGATTTGGGTCATGATTCTATGGGGTTTTTTCGTATGGAGGACTTACTTACTCCCAGTCTGAAACTCTTAACTGGTCTAGAAAAAAGTGTGTCAGAACGTATGTAAATATATCGATCTTGAATCAATTTTTTTAATCTATAATCTCACCATTCACAATGCAGAACTCTCCAAAGAATGAGGGAGACAGTATTGGAGACCCTGAAATTTCTACTGACTCAGTATGCAAATTAAATTACATTTTTAGAAACCATTAGTAAGTTTAGTTCCATACATAACCTGTTGCTATCTATATAGCTTTCATGAGAAAAAAAAACCAAACCAAAACAGTTATTCTTACTAAACAATTTGCCCACACTTTGGCAGGAAGACCATAATTAATCTTCAACAGGACACTTTATAGCAGTAGCCCTTCCCATTTCTCTCTGGCCTTTCTTCTTCTCCCATGCAGCCTGAAAATAAAAAGTGCTCAAAATGAGCCTCAGCCTCCTTGGATGTCAGAAGCTTCAGCAGAAAACACCAATAGGCAGGACTGGAAGTGTTCACCTCCGATCTGGACAAGCAATTTTTCCAATTATAGCCAAATTATGAATAAGCCCCTAGTTTTAATTTAGAATTAAAGAAGATTTAAGATTAGAGTTGGTAGCAGTAGCATGATTCAAGGTAGCAGGTGAGTCCTTGATCAAGACCATTTACTGTATGGTGCTTATCTAATGGAGATGAACTAACAGCCACCTGGAAAAAAGGTCAGATCCTTTCATCTGGATATCAGCATATTTCTCTGACACCTCAAATCCTGCATTTCTGCAGTTGAAAGCCAGGAGTTTTTCCAGCCTTAACACCTGAATTTTTGTATGTGCTTCAGATATAACCCCTCAGATTCATATTGCAACAGGAGAGAGGTTTTATTTAATAAACCACATTCATTTTATTATGCCTCTATCCCCAGTAAAACACTCATAATAACATTATAAACATACTTCACCAAAGCAGGCTATATGCATAAATAGTAATCCACATGCCCTGCTTTGCAAGGGCCTGATCCAAAAGCCATTGAAATCAGTGGAAAGATCTAATCAAACTGGGAATTGCTGTCAATATGTAACAAGCATCTTTGAACTTACTGGATAAGATTACAAACAAATTAGTGTAATTGAACTGAAAAACTGACAATTTCCACCTTTTGGACTACAGTTTTAAATCCAAGGGCAGGAGATAATGGAACTTAAACACATGTCTATGTCAGGATAAAATATTCCCCTCACAAACTGGGAGAAAGGAATAAATATTACCTGGCAGTATCTTGTTACAGATAGTGATTTTTTGAGGGACTTGAAAAATAGTCAGTAGTCCTACTGAAAGTCTTAAAAGGATCAAATCTGCAAGCAAAATTATTTAGACAATTTGATTTTAAAATAAATATATAAATCCCAGTCTGGAGACTTTATCCCAGCTAGAAACTCTTTGAGGCCATTAGATATTCCTTATCCAGATGTAAGATAGAAAATGTTAGCACAGGTTCTACAAAGGGTTAAACTTCTCCCGTTCCCTTTTAAATCAGTGTTTGTGGATACTCAGATTTCAAGAGGTCTCAGTACTTCTGCAGTAGCAAGCCCTAGCTTTTTTTATATTGCCTTGGCATGCTGGCCCCCTAGCACAACAGTACTTTTAATAAATTGGGCTTTCATTTAAAGGTCTTGTGATTTGTTGCTGCGAGGTAAAGGCAATAGTTACCCTAGAACTGTGTCCTTCATACTGTGGATATATTGTATTGCTCTAGCACTGCACCTTTGTTAAAAAGGCTGTTATTTGAAAGGTTAAACTTTTCACTCCGCTCATGAAAACCTGTGAGAAAGGAGAAAGGCAGAGCTATGGATTTGGTAGTGACTCATTTCATCAGGTTGTAATAAACTTAACACCATGTCAAAATTAGAGAGCTCCTGAACTTGCAAGGTCTACCAAGTGACACATTCCAGAGTGAAACAACCCAAGGAGCAGGGAGTGTGCCAGGCAGGCAGGTCCTGCTCCTGTGCCTAAAAATCCATGCTGCCCATGGTCCCCAGGCTAGGGAACAGTGCTGGAAGCAGGGATAAAGTCCATGCATTTTCTGTCAGCTCAGGGAGGATGAGAGCAGCAGAGCCCTCTCCCCTGGCTGCAGTCACACATGAGTGTTGGCTGCTCAGGGCCTGGCCACTGCTGCTGTCTCGTTCTCTGCTGTGTGCCAGCTGTGCCACCAGCACTGCTGCTTGCTTTGGCATCAGGAATTCCTAAATGGTTTTTGGCCTTTTCGTTTGTCTTGTTTTCTGTTTTTCCCTTTTAAATTTCCTTGGCCCTTTTCCCAGCCTGTTGGACTACTGCAAGAGAAAATGATATGATCAGACTGGTGTCGTATGCATATTGAATTCCTGCCATATGCATGGGGGAAAGAAACTGTCTCCCAGAGCCAGAAGATGAGGCAGATAAATGGCCAGTATGGGAGAGTGCTGAACACTCAGCTGAGTAAAGAAAATCTCACGCCAGACACTGAACTGGGACCATCATGGGACCAGTATTAGAAACTGAATTATGAATTATTTGGGGTCTCACTCTGCACTTAGGCAGGGTGACAGAACCACAGAGCACACAGAGTTTCCATCTCCCTGCATGTCTGTAGGTGCTGCTGTGGGCAGAGCACCACCAGACAGCAGGGCAGACTGAGCCAGCCATCCTCCTCTCCCCTGGCCTCTGACAGTGTGGGACAGACATAAATATTGTGGGTAGTGGGTAGGACCATAGGCACATTACCACTAACTTGGGATGCTTAGAATGCATACATATATTTTTATAACTATAAAAACAATTATGCATCATTTTTACTTTTTAAACCTTTACCATCAGCACAATGATCACACAGCTGCCATCCTCAGCTACATAAAGCAGTATGACTTACAAAAATTAAATCAAGCAGATTAATAATAAAGATCTCATCTCCAAAGTCCAAATTTTTATATTTTCATTTATTTCCTCATCTGTCCTTCAGCCATTCACACCATGGTAGTCAATCATTCCTCCATTATATCAGGTTAATTCACTTTATGTCATGGCCTGTCATCACAGTTTAAAAGGTTATTTTCTCTTGATTCTGAGACTTTAGAATAAGACAAAATTGATCAAGGAAAAAATGAGGATAAAAAAGGAGAAAATACAGAGAGAAAAAGCAATGTTCAAATTAAGAAGCTTTCAAGAGCACCACTCCTCTTTTCAGTGGGACTCAAGCTTCTCCCACAGTCAAGACAGGCACTCAAAATTAACAGGTCCAGAGGTACTGTTTGCTAATTATTATTCCCATACAAGCAAAGTTTCAAGAAAGAAAATGTCTATACCTTGGAATATCCATCAAAATTAGCTGGTTTAAGGAAAAATTCCAAGTACATTTCTGTGTACTACACCCATAAATTACTGAAAAAATAGAATTAGGGCTTGCAATTCTCTCTCTCTCTGGACTTCTTACCACTCTGGAACCACAGAGAGGCTGTAATTGGCATGCAGACACATTTCTTCACTGCCCAAACTGCATTGAAAGTCAGTATAGGATCCCCTTTTCACTGTTGGGCGGCTGTGAAATGTTCCCTTACAAAACCAGCTCGGTGGTGTGGGGCAGATGCACAGCACAACACGAACAATGTGGCTGTTCTCTGAGCGTGGCCGTCGCTGCTTTCCTGGACAGATTCCTACAGCACTGCCCCGCCGCTGTCCCAGCCCCCGTGATGTCCAGGTGTCCCTGGGTTCAAAAGCACAGGGGGAAGGAGGAGGAGCAGCTCCTGTCCCTGCTCCCAACCAGTCTCCATGGGCATGGGCTGGACCAGCAGAGGATGCCCTCAGGGCCTGGCAGGCGCCTACTGCCTGTAAAAACCCTACACCAAACAGACAATTAGCACTTTAAAGTGCTTTCCCCACTCTGCTAAAGTCTCTGATCTTGAAAGAGCATTTGGGCAAGCTTTTAATGATTCTACCCACCAATACTATTTAACATTTCTTCATTTAGTAGCAGCCTGGTAAGGAGATGTTCACATTGTCATCAGAATTGATCCCCTCTCAGTTGGCTCCTCCTCTACTTCTGCCACAGAGTTCTTCCTTCTCTCCATTTTTCCTAATTTTTGGAAATGATCAGAATATTCTCTTAGAAA